CTGCAGCTTCGCCTCCTTCCGCGCCAGGATCTCCTTCACCTCTGCTTCCATCTTGTGGACTTCAAATTCACACAGGGGAAAAAAGGGTGAGACATCGCCGCCGCGCCGGCACCTCACCGGGGACGCTCGGCACGGTGTTCCGCCGCGCTTACCGAAGCTGTGGTAGAGCACGTTGCCCTGCGCCAGGCCCTCCTCCACCTTGACGAGCTGCAGGGTCATGCGGGGTCCTATCTGTGGGAAGAGGGGGGGACATGGAGACCCCCACCCCGGTCAGGCTCCGTCACATTCCCCGGGGTGGTGGTGACCGCGGCGGCAACCGCGGCGTCACCGGCGGTCACGGACCTCCCGGCGCTCTGCTGCGCCTTCATGTTGCCTCGGCCGGCGTACGCCTGCGGCAGCTCCAGGACGTTGTGGGTGCCATCCTGCTCGGCCTCGCTCTCCGACAGGTTTATGTCTCTGCCGAGGGACGGGAACGTGTGCCAGGATGTGCCAGGATGTGCCGGGAGGCACCCCCGGACCCCTCGGTGCCCCCCACGCACTTCACCAGCAGCTCGCTGATGTCTTCCAGGCGGCTCATGTTGGGGAACTTCTCCTGCAGCAGCTTCTTCAGCCCTTTGCTCACGCCCACGGGCACGACCTTCACGCTGCTGCGAGGAGGAGGAGGAGGAGGAAGAGGTCAGTGGCAGGAGACGGGGCGCGAGGTGCCCCTGGAAAAGCGGGAGCGCGACACTCACTAGTGCCTGAAGTCGAGGAGCTGCGTCTCCGCGTCGTAGGTGATGAGCAAACACCTCTTGATGCTGTTGAGGTTGACCTGTGGGCAGGAGGAGGAAGAGGAGGGAGAAGGTCTGAGCTGGAGGGGACCCACAACGATCATCTCCAAACGATCCAGCGCTGTCACCACCTCCGTTCCCCTCTTCCGGGTGCCTCCCAGCACTTTCCAGTCCTCCTCCAAGTGGGACCCGCACCCCCCGCCCCCTTCCCGGTACTCCATCCTCGGTGTACAATGCAGCATTCAGACTGGTTTAACTGGATTCCATCCATCCCAGCCCAGCACTCCGATCTCTCTCGATCCCTCTGCTCCAGTTTATCCACAGCACCTCCCAGTTTGATACCCCACACCCCAATCCACATCCATAAACACATGGAACACAACTGACCCTGAAATGGAACCCTGAGGAGCAGAGGGGGAGGTGGGGCGGGCGCCGAGCCCACCCCCCCACTGGGGACAACCGCTTACCCGGTGGACGTTGATGGAGGGGAACATGTTCTGGAACATGGTGGCCATCAGCTTCACCTGGATCTGCTGGAGCCCGAAATTGCTGAGCACCAGGAGCGGGTGGTGGGTGAACTGCTGCTCGTGCATGCGGTGCCGCTTGAGGGCCGACACCACGTCCTGGACCAGTGAGTACTGGGGGGACACACACACACCATGTCCTGAACCAGTGATATGGTGTGTGAGTACTGGGGACACACACACACACCCCCCACGTCCTGGACCAGTGAGTACTGGGGACACACACACACACCATGTCCTGGACCAGCTGAATACTGGGGACAGAAACACACACCATGTCCTGGACCAGTGAGTACTGGACACACACACACACGCCATGTCCTTGACCAGTGAGTACTCAGGGGGGGACACCAGTAAGGATGAGGAGGGGCCGACATGTCCTTGACCAGCGAGTACTGGGACACACACACCCCCCACATCCTTGACCAGTGAGTACTGGGGGAGCGGGGAGGACACCCGTGAGGATGAAGAGGGGGCAACACCATGTCCTGGACCAGCGAGTACTGGGCAGCGGGAGGACGACACCATGTCCTTGACCAGTGAGTACTGGGGGGGGGAAAACACCCATGAGGATGAGGAGGG